TCTATTTTAACCGTTTATCTATTAAAATTGGATATCCAATAAATAAATAGATAAGCGGTTGATGGATTGAAACTCTAGCGAAGCCACGTGATTTATATATAAATCAGTTATCATCCACAACCTAACCAATAACGATAACAAGTACGACTTATTGTTACAGTGCAAAATACGTATCAAAAGTGCTAAAACTTTTGCAGATCATTAATTATAATCTAACGGTGATTTGCCCGAATTAGCACCCATTGGCCCCAAATTAATGCGCATCCCAATATAACTATTGTACCGGCTTGACATTTAAAGCAAGCTATTCAAATACTATTTATTGTTGTGACATTTATTACCTAAATATATATTTAGAATAAGCTATTTTTATGAATATTTACGATTTTATTACCCGAAATAACGCGCAGGTGGATGTTATTTCGCGCTTATACGGTAGGTATAATGAAATATCCTCTATAAATGCATGGCCAGTCAGAGGTTAATTATAATCATGTGCACACTCTCTAAATGCTCATGATATGATCTAGTCTTAAAGGCGCATGCTTATCGTTATGGGGGCGTTTTTGTATATATGTTGTAAGTGGAACAGGATTTAAGTGGATTTGGAATTTCTTAGAATTTTATAGGGTTTATATAAAATAAACTCCACCCTGAAATACTAATTTAAAGAAATTCCAAATCCATTTAAATCCCGTTCTCACTTACAACATATATATGAAACGATATCATTTTTGATTGGCTATTCTTTAAGTGTATCCTAAACACACATACATGCCTGGTTTCCAGAGTATAGCACTTATGGGAAATCGTCACATACAATAATCAATCGGGTTTCAATTGTTTTAATGATTGCAAAAAGGTGTGACCTCTGTGCATACCGAAAATGTGAAAATTCTTAAATTTCGCAATTTTTGGCAGAACGAACGTTTGTTCCCGATCGTGTTACGTTACACCTAATCTTGAAATCTGATTCGTACACATTTTCGGTATGAGACCTCTGCAGATCATGATGTCATGTAAAATCGCGGGAAATTAAACGATTTTCCGATTCTAAGAGAATTTTACAGACTTCAAAATAAATATAGATATTACCTATTGAATATGTGATTGATAGACTATTTAGAATCATTGAAATTCCTCACTATCATTTTCACAAAAATCGCGAGGTCACATCTTTCTGCAAACCGCCATAAAAATTGACACTATCTTACGTAACGATTTTCTCGAAATCTAGTGATTCGAATCAGCTTAAAGCCTATATATTATTTCCAGTAAAAGTGTTAAGTCAAATAAATACGTTCAATTAAATTTGTATTAAAGAACAATTATTGCAATATCTGCTAGCAATATCCAATAAAACTTTTGGCAAGGTGACACGACATACTGTATATTAATCATTTGTAATATAAGCATCAGCGATTATCTATCACATAGTTCTGCAAGTAAATTTGCCTCATGGCTAATCTATGATCGAACTATCAAACTATATTGGATCATAATTTATATCACAGTTCATTTTAAGCTATACTGTGATGGGGACAATCTACAGAGATGTAATGCTGTAATGCTGATAATTGATTACCAACATTACCAATTATAATTAATAATTTAAATTTCGTGATCGAGCACGTGTTACTAATTTTCCATAACAACATGACGCGTCTTGTTTACATACACATGTTTTATATTTATATATTTTTTACAAATTTGTTATATGTACATATTTTAACAATTTTAACATATGAATGTTAATAGGTCATTACTCTCCTTAAAATGGCACTAACTTAAATCGATCGATCGCTACGTACATAAAATGTTCGATATCAGTCTCCCTTACGAACTAACATATGCTTCCCTCTATTTTTCATTTAAGTTGTTTGTTTCATTAAGTTGTTTGTAAATGATACGAAAAAAAAAATATACCAATCCTTTTTTTTTATAACGAATATTAGGAAAAAAAAAAAATTCGATTTTTACGAATTTTAGGTACGAAAAGAATGATGGGTGGATTTATACAATATAAATTCGATTATAAAATTTTGGGTGGATAATTGACGACAACGAAAGGAATAAATTGTTTGTGAATGTGTGGAATTTTTATCGACAAACGACAGTTCTATTAATTTTTGTATATGTATATAAGAATTGTATTAACATTAAACATAAAAAAAAAAAAAAAAAAAGAAATTATCTTATAAAAAAATGTGGGAGGATTAGAGAAGACAAAGATGATGCTTAAAGTTGATGATTAAACAAAAAGAGAAATTCGGATTAAACCATACACATAGGGTGGTACATAATGCATAAAATGAGTATGTCCAAACGTATAGTGCCGAAAATGCTCGCTCAAACGTTAGCGGAACAACCTTGGCCCTCTTTCACTATCCATTAAAGAGAAAGAACTCAATGAGGAAGACATGGGTGTCAAGGTCGTTTGTGTAAAATATTGTTCATGCCATTGAGGCTCATCGGGTGTTGGTAAGGTTTGACGTGTCGTAGTGGCAAACTCCTGGCTTGTACGCATAGTTGCAATGGAATTATTGCCAGGTGATATTCGAGATTGTCCACTTATTTCCGAGTCATCGCAAAAGCAAAGGGAACCTTTACTGAAAATTGAAGAATCACTCACGATTCCATTAACAGAATCGATTGATGTTGAAGAATGAGTAGGAGAACGAGGTCTGTTCCTTGAATTCGATTGTTCGTCATAGTCTTGCATGAATGAAGATAAATTGTCATTTGACAACGGGGGATAAGGTTTTTGTGTAAAAGATGAGCTATCATTATTGATCGAAAGTGAATAATCTTGTAAATATATTCTTTCGTTAGGACAGCTATTAATGATAACATCTCTATGTGTACTATTATCTTTCTCATCAGCACCATGATATATTTGACTATCTTCAATCATGTTTGGAACAGAATATATCGCGTTAACCACATTACAACACGGATTTGCGGTTTTATTATCGGGCATCTTGTCGGTAAGTTGTACATCCGAAGATGCAATACCTAGTCCACCATCAAAACCATAATTTTCGAACCTAGAGAGGCGCCTCTTTAATACAGCCACCTCCTCTTTTAACAACCTATTTTCATTTTGATATTCAGCATA